GAATTAAAAGTGCAGAAGCAAGAAATAAGAACACAGAAATTTATAGTGGTTCGATCAACTCGACCTACGTCTACTCCCCGGAGGCACCCTCCGATTATTGCACTACAAACGTGACTCTCCTTTAACCCCCACAGCTAGGCGGAGAAGCCTTTACAAGAACCTCCTTTTAACCCCGGCAAGGCAGAGAACCTTTCTCCTTTTGCTTCCTCCTGAAGCTGGCACAGAACCACAACCAAAAGCTAACTCCTTATGTCTACCGACCCTTCCATGGATGAAAAACTCTAGACGAAGAAGAAGCAGGGCGATCCTTGAAGCAACCCTTATGAATCCCCTCACAAGCTCCCCCTCACAAGATCCTCTCTCTCTCCCACTCTCTCTTTCTCTCCTCAAGGACTTCTCAGGTCAAGGCAGCAGCCAAAGGTTTTTTAAAATGTTGAGCAAGAGCTCTTAAATAGAAGAGCTTCAAAGGAGCTCATTAATTGCAAGTTGCTGACATTATCGTCCAGGCCGATATGTACATCAGCCTGGCCGATCAGTCCAAATCTCAGAAGATCAACCAGAGCATCACCTTGGATGCACTCCTGGGCGATTGAAAAATGGCTTGATCTTCCAGGCCGATCTCACGATCATCCTGGCTGATCAGTTCAAATCTTGGGAAAATTGTCCTGAGCATCGCCCTATTTTCGAGCTGGCCGATATTTATCGTCATGAAGTAACTAAGGGTTTTTGAATGGATCATCCTGGCCGATCCCGCGATCGTCCAGAACGATATGATCGTATCAATCATCCTTAATTACTCCCTTGATTTCTTTATCAATTAAGACATAATTTGAGAATTTCGTCCAGGCCGATCAATGATCGTCCTGGCCGATAATTTAAAAAAACAGTATACCTTAATTGTCTATGGATGCAATTTCTTTCTGCTTTGAGCATATCGTCCTGGCCGATACACGTATCGTTCAGGCCAATATGGACATGATGGCTGCCTTAATTAAGAATCCTTATTTAGACTTTCTGTTTTAAACCTGATCGTCCAGGACGATGTAAATATCGTCCTGGCCGATATGAGTAAAAATAGAAATTCTAAGTCTCTCAAGTTGTGTGTGTGTAGGGTTACTTAGCATCAGTCTCTTTGACCATTACATGTAGACTCAAGAGGTGAAAAATAAAAGTACAGACTGACTCAACCCTAAACCTACGCAATCCTGAACTGGCTTTCTTCTGTTCGTCCGGTCTTCTATACCTAAAAAGTTAGAAGCAACTAGCAGTCAAGCGAATCAACAGTGTTTGTCAATCATCAAAACAAATGTCATGAAAATAGATTTGCAACAATCTTTGCCCTCTCTCAAACTCCACCCTCTCCTCTCTCCCTTTCAAGCTCTCTCTTCAAGTTCCCTCTAGAAGAACGAAGCTTTAATGGCTGCCAAAGACACTCTTCATGAGAAAGCAAGATGTCTTTTAATAGATTTGCAAAACTGACATTATCGTCCAAGATGATCGCTGGATCGTCCCATATGATATGCATAAAAAGAGAGATTCTGAAAACCTTAAAAAATTAATTTCCGTGCCAAACATCATCTAGGACGATCGCAGGATTGTCCGGTACGATGTTCTTAAAAAGAAGACTTCAGAAAACCCTAAAAACTCAATTTCGATGCCCAAAATCATCCTGGATGATCGCAGGATCATCTAGTACGATGTGTAGAATTTGACCTGATAGTCCTAGACGATATTTGGATAGTCCAGGACGAGTGGTATAAAAATGTACAGCTCATCCAGGAGGATATTGTGGATCGTCCAGGATGATTAGAAGAAAAATTATGGTATTTTGGCTTGGATGATTTAGGAAAATCAAGTATATCAACAAACATCATCATGTACAATATATAAATCGTCCAGGACGATTGAATTGAAAAAATTAACCATAATTAATCCCCTAATCTTAGGATCAATTTAGGCATGATTTGTATTGATCGTCTTGGACGATCCAGATCATCCGGGATGATTAGAACAAAAATTAAAACTTAAATCTTTGCCTAAATTGTCATTGGCGGCTCTTTTTCAAAATCATAAAGGATCGTCTTAGACAATCAAAAATCATCCAATACGATTAGTTTAAAACTTGATCTTCTTGATTTGAGAAGATCTCACTCCCTTGAGTGTGTGTGTGCATGGTCACCCTTACAAGACTTGACTCAAAAAATAAAAATTACATCAATGAATATTGCAGACCCTTTTACAACATAACATTATTCAACCCAATCGTCAGCTCTGATTCCTTATTTCATGTTGCATGGTATTCATGAAATGTTAGTATACACACAAACAAACATATATTATAAATACAAGTAGATAACATAAAGTGAGCCATAATATTTGTTATCATCAAAAACATAAACTCATAAGCTCGAGTTGCAACAATATTAAAGGACACTTTTTGATCTTGCACTCTTAATATCAATTAACCTTTTCACACATTTATCATGGCCTTATTTAAAGCTAGAAATCACGTACTTAAAACAATATATATCTTCCTATCTTCTTTCATATCTTGGATAATGAAATCTCTAGGAAAGATAATCTTATCAACCTTAACTAGCACATCATCTTTTACGTCCTTAGGATAAGTAAATGAATGGTTTTCTAACTAAAGGGAAGCAATGTTAGGTTGGATTTCTCCTAGATCATGTATTTTGAATATGGACAAGGGAATTAAATTAATGTTAACTCCAAAATAAAATAGTGCTCAACTATAAAATAAATGCCCCATAGACATAGTAATGGTAAAATTATCTTGATCATAAAGCTTTTGAGAAAGTTTATTTTGCAGAATTGAACTAAACTCCTAGTCATAGCTATAATTTAAAAATCTCCTAATATTTCTTTTTCCTACTATGGATATATTTCAAAAACTTAGCATAGGTGGGAATTTGTTCTGATGCTTCTACGAATAGAATGTTAATTATTAGTTTTTTAAAAATTTCCGAAGACTTCGAGAACTACTTATGTAAATGTTATTTGAACAATCTATGGAGAAATGGTGAGGATGGCCTCTCAAGTACTTCTCTAATAGGTTTTGTACTTCTTTTTCAATTTGAGGCTGTTTCTTAGGTCTTGGGACCTTTCCTATTTTTTAACAGTACCCTCCTCAGATTGATCATTACTCCTAATCACATTATGTTGCTCTTTCCCGGTCCTCTATAGAATAGGTTCACAATTTTTCTTACCTTTTTCTTTGAGATTAATTTTATTTTACTGTCTAAAGTTCCTTACGATTTATTAATTAAACATCTAGCTAGCTTTGCTGGTTGGGTTTCAATATTCCTAATGAAAGTTTCTTTACTTTGTAACAGTATACCCATTTACAAAACTAATTACTCTAAAGATGGCTTCTTATCCTTAGGTTAATTATTTGAATTAAACCCCATGGGGATAATTAGGCCTTGAGTTAGTAAATCTTTAAGGTTGGGGAATCCTTCTTTTTTTTAATTTAAACCCACAAACGGACCTACGCATTAAAAAAAAAAAAAGATTACAAAGTCCTTACAGGAGACCATCATCTCACTAATGCTCTTACTAGGTATAAAACAAAGCAAAAGAAAAATTACGAGCCAATTGTCTCCACTAAAAAAAATGTAGGGCACCATAGTAATATTCTAACGATGTTATAGGGAAGCAACCCAAAAAGAAAGATAATAATAATGAAACAAAGCCCAATCTTTCTACAAAAAAGCTTGAAGTCATCCAAAAGTAGCTCCACATGCAGAGTAAAGCTGTTGCAAAAAGAGAAGTTATACCACCAAGAAATAAATGTTAAATAATAAAAATAGTCTAAATATTAGCTAGCAAAGAAGAAGAAGAAGAAAAATCTGCTCCAAATTAAGCAAATATGAGAAATAAGACTTAAAGAGCTTAGAATACAATTAATATAAAAAGCATCAATAAGAAAATCCACAAGCCCAACAGTCCTACCTTCTGGGTCACCCAAAAACACCTTTAAAGAATAAATCCAACAAAACATTAAACCCCCAGAGAAATAGAAAAAAATTTCCAGAATGCCAACAAGAATATCCACTCAAATCCACCAAAACCATATATACATAAGGCTAGGCAGAATCCAAGGGATAAACAACAACCTGCATGAAACAACCAAACCTACAATAGCACCAACACAACAAGAAAGCCCAACCAATGCCTCACGTTACCCCTTGCAAACAAAAAATGGAAGGTAGGAGAACAACGATGGGAAAAACCATCAACATTATCACCTGTGAAATCATAGCTCAAGGTTGGGGATTGCATTGTCCTACTTGATTGGTTGTTTAGGGTTCCAATTAGTGTTTTTATTTTGATTATTATTTTAGCCAAAATTATGATGTTTTCTTCAGCTAGGTTTATAAGTATTAGAGTAGAAGTTATTAGTTTAATTATTATTTACATTTATTGATTCTACTCCTGATATATTAGGATCATTATAGGTTTTGCAAAAATTTCTTTTAAGACTATAGGTGAATTAAGTCCAAGGTTTTTTTAGAAATGGCAATGACTTGGGTAGTTTATAGTAATAAAGCATCAATTTTATAAATACTAGGCACCTTTCTAAGGTTGATTCATTTGAATGACCATTTAAAATTATTTGTATCCATCTCCTCAATCAAATCAAAGGCCTCATCAAAGGGCTTTGACATATGAGAACCATTAAAAGTGGCATCTATAACTAATTTAAGGGAACATGTCATGCTATTATAAGAAGTTTTAATTATTAATCAATCAAGAAAGGCATGATGAGGACATTTCTTAAGAAATTCCTTAAATGTTTCCCACAATTCATTAATATATTTTCCATCAAAATGGGTAAGTAAATGATGTCATTTCTAATTTCAGCAGTTTTAAATTTTGGTAATATTCTACTAAAAAATATTATACAAGTTTATTCCATGTTGTGATAGAGCATGGAGGAAATAAATTTAACCAAATTTTATATTTGTCCCTAAGTGAAAATTGAAATATTTTAAGTCTAATAGCATCCTCACTAGCACCATTATATTTAAAGGTAGCATTAATTGCTAGAAAACTAGTTATGCGTAAACTAGGGTCTTGTAAAGGTGTTGCTCTAAATTGGGGGTTTTGTACCATTTGAATTATGGAATGTTTCACTTCAAAATTATTGGCTTGAATGCTAGCTCTATTAACACTTTGATGAATACCTTCAACCATATGGTTGAAATATTTCCTAAGAGATAGGGGTTGCTTGATTTCAACAATTAGTTTAGCCAATTTAAATTTTGTTTCAATTTTAAAATAATTTTCTAATTATTCTTAATTTTTTTTTCAATTTTAATGTCCAATAGAAATTGTACTAATTATTTAATACTATGCATGCAATAGTAAGCAACACATAGAAATTGTAAAATAATGTGCAGAAATAGTTAAACAAATATCAAAGAAAGTAAAAAAAAAAAAAGAAGATAAAACTAGATTCAACAAATAGTTTTTTTGGCAATATAAAGTGCAAAATAGGATAATAATATTTCTAATTAAGCTCTTAGCAATGACACCAAAAAACTTGACAACACACAAACTACACACACATACAACTATTTTTAGCATTTTCTTTATGCGTAGATTGTACAAAATTTTTTAATGGAAGTCTAAGTTTTCTATGGTGTAAATTTCTTTTTAGCGCAAGTGCATGTATCATATCAAGTAATATAATGATGAAAAAGTGTGTCAATCACATGAGGAAAAACTAGAAATGGCCTATGATGACTTTATTATTGCCTACAAAATTACAAAATTTATATAGTTGAGTGATTTGAAAAGTGTGTGCTGTTTAAAAGTAAAGAGCATTAAATTACTAGAATAACATTTACTAAGTTAAGAAATCCTGATCTTATGATTTTTCAAAAGAACATGATTTCTTTATAGTGGTTTACTAACTATTATTATTGTGGATAAGAGTAATAGTACGCATCATTATCAAGCTCGTTAGATTCTTAATTAGGATCCTACCACTACCCAACTAAAAAATTTTCTATCTCATTAACCCCATGACCCAAACCACAATATGTCTATTCATGGTAGGACATTTCTAAGTTCTTTATTTGTTCTTCTGCTCCTCCATTAAGGCTCAAGATCATACTAAGTTTTATAATTTATGTAAGTCATAATACATGAATCAATTAAAGCAAAATTAAGTTTTATAACTCCCCAACAGAAGAAACTACATCCCACATCCCTCCCTTTCCCACTAACATCTCCGCAGCCACTATTGTTATCTCCTATAATATGCCTGATCTCCTTCAGCCGTTAGAGGAAGATTAGTTGCCACAGTCTTCTATGACACATCCTACCATCAGCTCTATGTTTATTGATCACACCACTGAATCACCCTTCCTCTCCAGAATTCCAAAAGGACTAGGGGGAAGCAATCAGAAAAACCCCTCAAGCCCTAAAATATTATTATATGTTCCTAATATTGCAACTTAGAATACTAGCGCTTTAACAACCCTTATAAAGCCATCTACTATATGCATTTTTATAATGCCTGGATACTGGATAAGTTATATATATTGGAGAATAGAATTCATACATGCTCTTTCTCATAACCTTATTTTATCTCCTCCCACTCTATCTTTCCTTCTAAATGGAATTGTAACATCTTCAAACTCTCCAATTATGGTTGCATTTCGATAAAATGGAACTCTTCTAGGATGAATTTTTCTCCTTCTTCTCTGCTCAAATGATCTCTAGTTTTGTATCGTCTTGGAACAATTCTCCCTTTTAGCTCCTAGTGATATATGCTTCCAACTACAACATTGAAAGGTCTTTTCTCTGGGACCAACTTAGAAAGATATTGATGCCTAACTCCCCTTGGATTCTCAAGGGGGTTTTCAACTACTCTCATTTTGCATTTAAAAAAATTATGGGGAATGATTTTCCACAAAATAAGTTATGGGATTTCAATTCTATGATTTTTTACACCAATCTTCTTGACCTTCCTTCAGTTGTTAGTAACTTCACTTGGTTCAACTAGCGAGTTAAGAATCTCATACATGGGTTAGACGGAACTCTTCTGAATGGAGAATGGTTATCCTTCTATCCAAATTTTTACTACTCAGTCCAAAGTCCCTCTTGCTCTGATCATTATCCCATCATTTAGCATTATGGTATTGCTAGTCCTCTTCATATCATATTTCTCTTCAAAAAATTCTACTCAATATTCACGATTACTGGGAGGGTCTATTTGGAGTATTTGATGAACATGTTACTGGTAATCCCATTATTAATTTTTGCAACAAGCTCAAAAAGCTAAAGATGACCATCAAAACCAAGCCTTGGCAAATTCTAAAATCGTTAATTATCATCTTACTAATCTTCATAATAAATAATTGGATTAATTGATAAACATATCAACCAACCCCACAAACCCTTCTCTTAAGTCCCTTTTAAAAGCATCAATTATCAGATTGTTGAGTTGTCTTCACACATAGCTTCTTAGGCTATTCAATGAGCTAAGATCAATTGGCTCACCAACAGTGAGCACAACCTAAAATTCCTATTTTCTAATATTGGTATCTGGAAGAATAAAAATAAAGCTTCTTTCAACCATAGGATTTTTTATACCAGCACTCTTGTTTATGAAGTTGATGCCATTATTCAACATTTTCACTCCCTCGTAAATCCCAATACTCCTCCCTCAGATAGCATAGCCATATATCCCTTTGGGATTATTATACCTATTAACCTGACACAATCATTAATTTTTCTAGTCACTGATGAGGAGATCAAAAAGGCAATTTTCTCTAGCAACTCCTGTGCTCTGGCTCCTGGTGGCTTTAACTTCCGCTTCTACAAATATAAATGGAAAACTATTGGGATTGTAGTATACAGAATGGTTAAAACTTTTTTTAATAACCCATGTCTTTCTCAAGGTGTCAAAGTCACTGTGATTTCCCTTGTCCCTAAAAAAAATCATATCATCACTATATCTGACTTCAAGTCCACAAAACTTTATTACACTTACTATAATATCTTTTCAAAAGTTCTTGCTGCTACACTTAAACCTTTCATTCCTATGCTCATTAAATACAATCAATCGGGGTTTGTTAAATCTAGAATTTTAGCATATAATGGCATCCTAGGAAAAAGAGCTCTTGTCCAACTTTAACAAGAGAGGGAATATGCAAAACATTTTATGCTAAATTTGATATAAGAAAAGAATTTGACATGGTATATATAGAGTTTCTACTTGCTATAATGTGACAAAAAAGTAATCCTCCAGTGCTTATTCAATGTGTAAAAGTGTGTATTTCAGATGTATACTATTATATTACCGTTGATGGTTCTCTTGAAGGTTTCATTCCCTCATTGACAAGATTAAGACAGTGATGCCCTCTCAGTAATTGTCTCTTTGGTTTTTTTATGGATGCATTTTTCAACCCTTCTAGATGGAGGGAACTTTGAAGGAATCTCTATTGATGGGTTTAACCTTACTCACTTTTCGAATGTAGATGATCTACTTGTTTTTGTGAATGATAATGTTAAAAACTGTGGCATTTTAAATTAGGCCCTCAATTCTTTTACTGACACCTCGAGCCTTTGTGTGAATTATGTTGTAAGTTCCATTATCCTCTCCATTACCATTCAAAACTCAACCTCCATTTTCTCTTCCATGAACCTTTCCTACCAAAGCCATTATATCTCTTACCTTATTATCCCGATTTCACCAAATTGGTGCAAGATCTCTGATTTCTCTCCTCTCCTTGAATCCATCACTCGTAAGATGTCTAGTTATAATGCTAACATGCTCTATTTTGTAGGTTAATTATAGCTTTTAAAGTTTAATATTCCTAATTCTATAGCAAATTTTATTAGAGGGTCTATACTCCATAAAGCTATTAGTAAGCACATAAAGAAGATCTCTTCAAAATTCTTATTTTTTTGCAACAATGTTGTTGCTGGTAAATTACCCATGGTCTTGTGGGATAACATTTACAAGCCTAAACTTATGGGGGTTCTTGGTGTGCCATCTATTTCTTCTCTCAAATTTATTTCTATTTTTTTCTCTCATTAGAAGCATATATAACCAAACTTCCTCTATGTCTTCTTGGAACCTCCAAAGATATATCTCTCCTTAGAGGCAGAACCATCCTCTTGCCTCTATCTTTTGGCAGTCCATTACCAAAATGGTTGTCAAATCTAGGTGCTACTTCAAACTTAAGATTACCCCTACTTGCCCTAAGTACTTCCATGGGATCATTCGTTTAATGGCTTTAAAATTGAGGAAATTACCTCTGCTTAGCCTTTGCTAAATTTGCTCCCACTAATATGATCTTGAAGGATTTAATTTATGGTACCTCATTGTGTTTGACTAAAACTATGCAACATAATCTGTCTAACGAAATTTGTGCTATTCAAAATTTTGAGTCATAAGTATACTTGTTGTATGAGGAAACAAAGTACTTAGGGCCGCATTCATGACTATATGAAAGAATTCTATAATGAACTCCCTTTCTGCCCTTGGGCCCATCTGATTTTTCATAAGAATTATGCAATCAAATAATCTTTTTTTTTTTGCTAGGTACCTCTAGTTGGCGGACTTAAAATTATGGACACCTTACTCAAGCATAACATTATGGTAGACATGGAATGTTCTCTTTGCAATTTTGCATATGAAAGTGTTTCCCACCTCTTCTCTGAATGCAACTATTCATTCTCTATTATTTCTAATCCTATCCAGGAATCTAATGAAATCATTCTTCGACACTCCCTCCCTCTACTACATGAATGGATTAATGATCAAAGTTATTCACAATAAGACACCAAAAAATCTAATTTTCTTAATTTCTTGTCGTTCTGTTTATTTTATTTGGCGGAAGA